GACCTTGAGCAAATAATTCACTGTATTCACTTCTCACTCTCCTTTTGCTACCTCACAAAAAGATACTGGAAAACTACATGCATGGGGAAGGCACTCAGACACCATGGTGATAATTTCTATACAAAAAACCCCCACAACTCTATACAAAGCAGTACAGGCATATTTAAAAGAAAAGATAATGCTGTCCTCATCCTCCATAAACTATGTGCTTTCCTGAACTTTGAGAATAGCACATAGTTTATAGAGAGTTAGGATAGCATTATCTTTTGGGGTTTGTTCTTTATCATAAAAAAATTGCAAAGCAACAAATGCTTTTTTATCATTCTTTTTCCTTCATTGCAAAGGATGTGGTTAGTCATCTTCTAAGTGCTGCTTTCCCTGAAAATTTAATCAAGTCATCAGAAAGTTAAAAGTGAATTTATTACATACCAATGTCATGTTAAAATTAAACAAACTCATTCTCTTGACTGCAGAGCAAATACCTGAGGTGTGTAATCACTGCATGGCAACAATTGCCCCTGTTGTGAGCTGAGATGCACATAGCACCTCTGCACTCTTCCTACAACTGTCTTTGAAGTACCAGGGTGAAAGCAAGTTCTGACTGCAGACAATTGAACCCAGATTCTCCCTTTGTTTGCAGAGCTTGCATTGACAGCCAACAGAGAATAACCAACACTGCACTTCATCAACTCAGGAGAAAATACTTGGCACAACTTCAAAATGGGAAACAACAAGGATCTGTAGCACCTTTGTTACCATAATTCAGGTTACAAACACAAAAGGCAGATTATTTCATGGGCCTTTTTAGTAGTATTTAATCAAAGACAGTGTCTGGTAATGTAGGACAAGAGCTCATCTCTATCTACTAGACACTGATTTTGTTTATAATGGGAAATGCTGACTTTTGCACCAACAGTTGGCACAGCCCACTGCCGGGGTACAAGGATTACAGAAAATATTTTCTGGCCAGTCCTTTTAAAGCTGAGTACAGATCAGTGTCAGGGCATGTAACAGTATGTTACATACAATATACCTGCTATGAAAGTCTGGCCTTACACACAATTCTGGGTGCTGGAGTTTTATTACTTACAGGCAGTATTGTATTACTTATAGGCTTTTTATGGAGTCCTGTACAAAATGAGGCCCATATGTGTTCAGGGGCTGCAGCTATCTCCAATATGAACTGAATCCCTTGTTCAAACCTACACCACAACAGTCTGAAGTCTGCAGACAGCCACTGACCTACAACTGCTCTGAGAATCCACATAGCCCAAAATATCAGCCATTACTTCACATCTGTTTGAGGAAGGAATTTTTGAAAATGCAAGTACAAGACTGTTTCCAGTATTAAAGTTTTCTTGACCTTTCAAAATTTTATCTGACACTCATGAATTCCAAAAGATGTTTCATTTGCTACACAGAATATACAAACTTGTGCTCTGCACCTGCCACTGGTGGAGGTCAGTCCTACAGTTATTTAGTCCTCATGGCCACACTGATATGGGACTTTACAAAAAGTCATGACACTGTTAACCTCTGTGTTCTCCTTCCACATTTATTGCCAGGACAGAAACACACACTTCTTCTCCACTAAAATAAACATGCTTGAAACAAATGTAGAGTTCTCATGTTTAACATAATACATTCTCAGTCACCACTATGAAATCTTTCTTTTCTATCATTTTGAATGTCTGTGCAGCTCATAGGCATAATCAGCATAATGAAGAATCCAGAAAGAAAAATGTGAGTGTACTCCAATCATATTTTACTTGCCAAACACAAAAGATGGCTTCAGGGGCATTTCATGTCTCTTTGGAGATGTTTCATACAGTTTTTCACAGAGAGGTTATTACTCTTTAGCCCACAGGCTGTCACTGCAGCCCCAGGAGAACTCTGGCTCCCCAAACACTCACCATCCTAAAGCACAAGTGGAAAGGAGATACAGGACAGATACTCCTGTTATATCAGATAGATTTGCTGGTGATTGGTGTGAACAGTTTGGTCCCAAAATGCTGACTTACTTTGCTCCATCAGCAGCTCTAGCTACAAACACATTCTATTCAGTACTTCCCTCTAGCACTGCAGGGATTGCTACAGGGTCATGTAAATATGAATGGGACAGGAAGGTTCTGCCAAATAGAGAAATGGGAACTGTAAGCTCTCTGTTAAGATTTCATTTGTAATAATCTCATAATTTATATATTAGAATAGAATTTATATATTAGAATATATATAATATATATTCTCTAATATTTATATTAGAGAATAATAATATTCTCTAATCATGGCAGAATATCAGCCCTTCACCTCACCCTTTAAGTGTGTCTCAGGTGTGTTAAAGAGAGCTGAAAGACAAACTGGATGTAAATATCATTGGCTCCAAACTTACTGCAAAACCATGTCTCAGGGATCTACTCCTTTTAGTAGCAACATAGCCCTTTTACAGACAATAGCCAAAACACTAACTAATGCCAGAGGGCTTACAACTAGCACCAAAATGAAAGTACTTCCTGAGAAAAAGGATGGATGGCATGTGGAGTCGCTCCTTTGCTGTGCAGGGACAGCTCCCTCTCTGTCAGCTGAGGAACTGTTTCTCCCTTTTCCACTTTCACTTTAACCCCTTAATTATGATTAAACAAACTTTCTCTGGCACTCAGGCAGGTCCATTGTGTCACATGCCTTGTTCAGGAAGATGGGCAGCTGACAGGAAAACCCCCCTTGGCTAAACAAGCCCCAGTTAATGCCAGCTTGCCATTTTTTCACATCTCTGTCATGACCTCTCTGGTTTATATCAGGGGACAGGCCCAGATTGTTGGCACTGGTCACAGTGCTGGCTGCTGAACAAGCCCCTGGGGATATGGGCTAAATCACCAGCACCTGACAAACCACAGCCACTGTGTGGGATGAACCAAGACACAGCAGTGCAAGGTGCTCCCAGGTGTGGCCCAGGTGCTGTTCCATGAAGCTGGCAGCCACTGCAGGAGCACTCAGTACAAAGGCAGAGAGCAGCCGGCTCCCCATGCAACAACAGCTCACCCCAGGGCTCACAAATGCTCACCTTCCCTTAGTAACTCCCACTGGGCTTTGCCTTGCATTGCTGACTCCACTCCTGTTCAGACAGAGGGGTCTGGGTTGGATTTAGTCATGCCTCAAATAAAAACTGAGAAGAGACGAGCAGGATAAAGCTTGAGAATTACTGAATTTCAATCTCCTTATTACAAACAGGAAGCTGGACACTGAATCACTGCCCACCAACTGCAAGCACAATTCTCCTGCTAGTGCAGGCAGTTTACAGCACAGTGCAGGTTCTGCTCCTTGGAAAGGGCACTGATTTGAACTGGGCACTGTCATTGACATAGGAATACAATTCTTTTGTGCCAAAGGCCTTTCTTTCACCCTTCTGACTCTTAGCTCCCCCCGCCCATTCCCCTCCTTTGAGACCTCTGACCTTGCCTTTTTGCCCTGTGATCTCTGCTGTGATTGTTAATGTTATATTTATAATCAAAGCAACCAAATCAAACTATTCCTTGAGTAACTCTTTAGTGTCAGTCTATATACCTGGACTCTATTACTCCTAATGAATTCATGTGTTTAGACTTGCAGATTTATTTCACAGCTCTCTACTGCTGTATTAATGACTGAATACAGCCTTAACTGGACAATTCACATTTAAAGGAGAGACTTTGATATGATTTTTACCAAACACTTTAGAGTAATGGTCAGGTGTTGTGCCACACAAACCTCACTGACCTCCTCTCTTGGGTTAGAAAAGAGGAATTGGGTGTGCTTTGAGCAGTGCACACCAGCAAATAGTGGTGTGTGCCATGTTTTTACATTTTCATGAGTCTCCCCGTTCATTTACTCTTGTATAGCATGGTATAGGAAATCATGGCTCTCCCCTTCCACACAAGAGGTCAGACAGGTCACCTACAGCTGTGCAAAAGATGTGAGTGTTTTTCCTTTGGTCACAGCAAACCAAGGATTAGTGCAACTTGCCTGAGTCCAATACAACTAATGCCTCAAGTGCCACAGCTTGCAATCATTAAAAGTATCCCAGAAATTAAAAGTACAAAACTGGTGTAAACAAAAATCTGGCTGGGAGGAAGTCACCTTCTTTTGAAAGACTGTTTTGACATCTGAGAACAAAGAATTCAGACCCTGAATGGGAACCTCATTTCTCTCCCAGCACTCTTCCCTCTTGAGAGCCGGAGTGGGGGTGGAGGGGAGGTACAAGCAAGAGACTGAGAAGTGACAGCCAGGGGGAGTAACCTTCCAGAGATAATCAATGGCTCTGGAACGAGCAGCCAGCCCTGCTGAATATTGATTAGCACTGCTGGCAAGCTCTGCTCCGGGGAGGGCAGCGCTCCTGCCAGCTGCCTTGTGAGAGCACAAAGGGAGCCCCAGCAAAAGGCAAATTGTAAATGGCAGGTTTTATGTGAGAAGCACCATTAAGCCCCCAGTAGGAGAAAAAACCCCAGAAGTATGGTCACTGCACAAACAGGCAGAAGGCAGCAGCAGTCCTGCAAACTTCTGTAATTACACTGTGCAATTCCAGGTTTACCTGAATAAATCTATTTTAAAGATCATCCCTTGCCAAGATACATGATACCACGAGTTGCCCCAGGTTTCCCTTCCCTTAAGGTTTCCCAGCCATGGGAAAGGGGATGCTTTCACAGACACCTGCCCTCAGAAGCTTTGCCCAGTGTCACACATCAGTACCAGCCAGGTATGAGAACACATCCAAGGTGATACCAGACTGGCCTAGGCCAGCTCTGAGCACACCTCATGCCCTTGAAGCAGCACAGCTGTGTGCTAGCACTGCATCCCTCTCACAGCACAATCTGTTCTTACTGTCTCATTCAGCGACAAAGATTTTAGCTTTTTAGTATTTTTAATATAAATAGTTAGATATTAATGTTATTATTACATCCATTGGTTGATATATATAGAATGTACACAGCTGTGGAAATTAGTTATTAGTGACTAAGAGGATATCCTACCTTTTTAGAAGCAGCCAGTCTTTTCTCATAGGCTTTCTGTGGAAAGAGAAATTGTGACAGTCAGGAAAAAGAGACCTGGAAACTGTGTTCTTTAAAACAAACAAAAAAACCCACAAAACAAAACAAAAAATTAAAAAATATGGAAAGACGAAACATAAAGAAGAAAAGAAAAAAGTTCCAGTTTCTGCCTGGTGTAACTCATCTGACTTCAGTGGGGCTGTCCCAGAGCAGATTCGTCCCCCTGTCTTTGCCAAAAAGAAAACAACAGGAGCCAGCCAAAGGCATCTGCTTTTGCATTTCCTCAGTGAGTCCATTCATTATACTCTCCTGATAGAGAAGTTGTAAACAAAGGCACTTCATGATGCTGCATCGTGCTATCCATAATTACACTGTATGTGCTTCATCAGCAGACATGCTTCAGGGCACACTGCAAAAGCTTTTATGTATTCAGGACTCTTTCTGAGAGGGTGGGTGAAATGAAGAGGGACAAGCTAACAGTTAAAACAGCAAAGGAAAACCCAACTTAACCTAAGCAGTTACTTAGAGAGGAGCTCAGTATAAGGGGGAGGAGAGGAAACTAGCTCTGGAAAAACACTGGAAAAAAAAGATGGGAGCAGAATACACACTGGAAAAAAAAGATGGGAGCAGAATTCCTGCCCACCAGGAATACCCAGTTAGTGGGTGTGCTTTAATATTCTCTCCATTGCTTTTTAAGATCATACACCCTCTAAAACATGTTTTAATAATCATGTTATGTGGTGCTCCCATGTGAAAACCTCACTCTGGATGGGGATTCAAAAGAATTTTTTAAAATAAAAAGTTCAGTTTGGAGGGTCCCTGAGGCTAACTTCATATAAATGGCCAATCATGCTCTGACTTCATAGTGATATAAGTCAGGTGTAACTCCCTAAATTGTGAACACTAGAAAACTCTAGTGTCAGATCATAAGTGAGTCCTAAGCACTTTATTGCTTAGCACATCAGCTTAAAGTGCTTGGCAGTACCTGGTGCAAGTTATTCTCTGAGAAAAATTCTGTTTATCTTGTAAGAATGTACTAACACTGCCTTGGATGTAATTAAGTCTAGCAGAATACAACATTTCTGCTGAGAACTTTGTTTTTAGAAGTCCATAATCTGCAACCAGAACATGTGTAATCCATACCCTGTATAGAAGTATTTATGTCTGAAAATAAGGACTTGGAAAAAGGAAATTCTTAAGGATAATCAACACGCAGGTGGGTAGGGCAGGCAGGCATTCAAGGGCTGGAAGCTGAGACTGGTCTGGAAAAAAAAGCAGAGACAGAGGTACCAAGCAAAGGTGAACACAGGTTGGTGGAGAGACAGGTTTGTAGTAAATTCTACCTTGTACTGCCTATATGCACATATTACCTATGTTGCTGCACAATCACAGTCTAAGGGTTGTTTGGGTTCTAAGAGAAGTAATTTTTGGAAATGAAGATGTAATAGAAGTTGACCTGTATCAAAACACACTAAAAATAGCACTCAACAATGTCAAATTGCTTTGAATGTTAGATTTCACTGTGGACTATGGAACAAAACAGCTTCAAAGCACATCAAGACCACATTTGGACAGTATAACAGCAAACTGAAAGATTTCTAAACTGTGCAATCCTAGTTCTAAAAATGTATTCCATATCCAAAGTTTGCCTCTATTATTGTCAGTTACATAGAAGTAGAGACCATAAAAGGAAAAATTCAGGCAGCTCTTTTCTGCATGCTTTTTGCATAAAGTTTAAAAAGCTGTCAGGCTTGTGTCACTTGAAGAGAGTTCACAGCTGAGTAATTACAGCTAAACAGAGGCACCTCTCTCTAGAAAGGGCTGGACATCCACGTTTTCTTGGCCACTGCTCAAGGGACAAAGGATGCAATATATAAGGGAGCAGCCAGTAACAAGAGTGTACAGGTGACAGGGGAGGTAACCGAGCCATTTCTCACTAGAAAAGCCAAAAACTCTGCCTCACTCGGGCCCTACCCCAAGAATTCTCTAAGAGGAGCTGGCTCTGAAAAGAGTGATTACATGGCAACTCTTTAAAAGTTTGCCATAAGAGCTGCAGAGTTATTCCTCATGTAATTATATAAAAGTTGCTGGCATTTATTTCCCAGTCATCTCACTCAGGATCTTGCCCTTCACAGAGAAGAATGGAAGCCAGGAAAGGACATGAACAGACTGAAGCACGTCAGAAAAGTCTCAGCCAAAGCTGAGTCATTCCGCACAAATTCAGAAAGACTGGAGACGTGTTTAGCTGGAGTTTCAAGGTTGCTCAACTCAGTGTAATAAAGAGGAAAGGATACCCAATCTCACAAAATAATGCACTACTACCTGGCAGCAAAATATTGTCACTCTATAATAGCTTTTGTAAAAGTCCTCTCAGAATTTACAAAAATTAGTTACTGTATAAAAATTGTTAATAGTATCTTATGTAGCTATTCAACTCAACAGATGTTCAAGTCTTTAACACAGACAGGACCAGTATTTGCTCATTCTGGATTACCAAAGGGTTGACCCTACCATCGTGGCAGGTTCCTTGTTGTGGCTACTGGCACAAAGAAAGCCTTGAGACCTGCAGGAACCAACTTGTGGCTTCTACAACAAATCTTCCCCAGACCTTGCACTACACAGAATAGAACTGAAAAAACTTTTAGATTTATCTGAAGGAATTTACTTCTACAGGTCAAAAAGTCTCTACAGATTAATTTTTTAAAAATTCCCAGTAATTCCTAGGAAGAGAGCCAAAGAGAGAGCTATCTCTTTGGAATTATTTTGGCTTTCACCAGGAAGGGGTCTGTTCTGAAGAAAAGTCCCTGTGGAAAACTGGGTGAGATGCACATGTTGCCCCTTCAACTCTGAAGTTTAGACATGGGGGTGTTTGTAATGACCCTCTAGCTGAGCTGGAGCCCAAGCCACCCATCTGGGACAAGTATACAGTGCTCACCATTTCTGTGAAAAACCAGTGAGAAATGCACTGGGCACCACCCACGGGGCTTTCAGCCACAGCTGCCCTCTGGGCAAGCCTAGGTCTGGGCTGCAAAGAAGGCTGAAATACAGAGCTACACATGGCCAGAAGTGCTGTGTTTCAAGTGGCTTGGGATTAAACCCCTCCTGATTTACACCCAAACCACATACAATTTCAGGCTTACAACTTAGCCAAGTGTTTCTGAAGGGTTCACAAACTTTACTTGAACTTGGCTTGAACTTTGCATTGGAGAGTAAAAAGTAAAATAAAACTTTCAAGTTGAAAGTTCTGTCTTCAGTCCATCTCCAATACTGATGCCTTATAAAAATACAGTTGATGTTCTACCCTAAGCAGTGATCCCAAACCCCATTCCTTATATACATTTTCCCAGGTTTCTTTTTCTGTATGGACCTTTTCCACTTCATGGGTTTCACAGAAAATATGATCTTTGAGATGAGGATGAAGATCCTCAGCTACAGTAGCACTGTAAGCTATGCATAATCCTTCACTCGCAGGACTAAAACCCCTCCATCCCAAAAAGCTCACTTAAGTAATGATAATATGATAACATTCTTTAAGATTTTCCAAGGCCAAATGAAAAGCTATTTTATCTTTTTAAAGAAAGATGGAAAATAATATAATAGAAGAACTTGGGAAAATGGATCATGGCCCTGTCAGTGGTAGTAAATCCAACCTTAGGGTCACAGATTGCATTATGTGACTTTATTTATTAGTCTGAGATATAGGAATGGATAAATAGATATAGATGTACAGCACCTTGCTGCACACCAAGGTTATGGCAGCCTTGACTCTTCCTAGAAACAAGTGCCCCCCCTTGTACATGTTTTTCTCAGCAAGGTCTTTTCTCTCAGTTTCGGCCTCAATTTTTAACACATTCACATAAATCTCTCTCTTAGAACAGGCACTACTGGTCTGGAGCTTTAGGATAAACTGCAAAGGAGAAGAAGGGAGAGTGAACCATCTATAACCAAAGGTAACTCTTGAAGCTATACCTGTTCAAATAAATAGATTTTAATTTAAAGCAAAATTAGTTTATCCCTGAACAGTGAACTTTCCTGAAATTTCTTCTAAAATAGCCTTCAACACTATCTACTTTTCTCCATGCTCATTTTAGCCTGTTCTTTCAGCTTGTTTCTTTTTTAATAAAGAATTACCATTTTTGTAGTGGCAATAGTAAACCACAAAAAAAACCAGCTTCAGAAACCTCTCCCTGATATTCTGAAAATAAAGCAAACAAAGAAAAAACCATGACTAATGTCTTCTAAACCATTTCATATCATCAAGGATCACATATTTGAAAACAAATTAAGTTATCAGATTTCTGAAGAATACATTTTTGATTCTGCACACTTTATCTCTATAAGCCATTGTGTAGACACTTGAGTTTTGTACTTTACTTGAAGAACTGGCAAATAAAAATAGTTCCTGCCTCTAACCTTGTCTTTTTCACATGATGATAATTCACTCCTGGTATTGCTCAGGGGAAGAGGAAAGCAATATCAGGATTAAACACAACATGTAAATAACCCTGAGGCATCAGGGTTTCTCCTTTGATCTGCTGAAACAATTATTTCTCTCTGATAATTTAACACAACAGTCCCTGGATCTTTTCACAACTGGTGTTGATTTTACAATGCAGGTCCTGACCTTGTCTAGGTAGGTTTGGTTTTCTTGCAAAGACTTTCTGAATAGGAATGTGTTACAGTCCCATGTCCTTGGGGCAGTGACAGTGTAAGGAAGTTCCAGCTGACCAATATTTCCACCTGTTCCTGCCCTGCTTGTGGGACTGTGCTCTGAAACATGGCACTTCCACAGAAGTGAAAACTTACTGGGCCAAGTGACACAGAAATTATGTTTCCACATGTGTCTACTCCTTGACTTGTGTGACCTGCTAAGAGTTGTGTTGCTACAAGTGTGTGTGTGGGTGGAAGAAATGGACTAATAAACAAGTAATTAAAGGTTGGAACTGCTCAAGGCATGAGCACCACCAAGAAAGGCACTTAAAAAACAAAAAGCATATGCACAAACTTCTCAGAAACCT